TTTTGTTTGAATTAGCGTTGAAGGCCTGCTGAGAATCAGGCGTGGGCCGCCTGGAGTTTCTCACGCTGGGAACGAGACGCCTGATGAGATGCTGAGGTTCGCTCTCCGACGTGCTGACTGTGCAAAACATTTGACCTTTTTCCATCTCTGCCGACTTTCAACAGAAGAATCAGAATCAGACGGTCGATTAGAGAGGCCAGCAGGTCCAGCGGTGAAACACAAAACACGATTAATTACATTAATTTATAATTAAACAAGAGCCGGGCCGTTTCCTCTCCTGCTGCTTGTCAGTTTCTCTGATATTCAGACGTGTTTGATGATCTAAACAAGAACAAAAAAAGAAAACACTTTTAACTTTCAACTGGAAATTTTAGTCTGTAAAAATTAAAGTTCAGTATATTGTGCTAAAACAAACTTGTTACAGAAATCTGTTGAACAAAACTAACTGGAATCCTAAAGAATAAACAAATCCATAGAAACATGTTCATGTTATCAGGATTTTAGTGCATAAATAATCATAATTCATAATAAACTCTGGCAGAGACACTTTATCCTTAAAACTGGACCAAACATGGCAACCTCTGTGTTTCAACCAGTAGATTCTGCATTAAAAGACCTCTGGCCAGTTTGACCTTTGACCCTGAAGCCAATAACGAATGTTTTCACTCAGCATTCTTCCTTCCTGCAGTGTTTGAATTCTCTCCATCTCACATTTGATCACTCAGCAAGATGACAAACAGTTTAGTTATTTTACTTCCTCGTTCTCTTTATCACTCGCTATAAAATCTGCTGCAGGTCTGAAAGTCACTTTTGTTTCGGCTGATTTTGACTCTGATTACAGAGAGAATTTGGACGGATCGGATGAGATCTGACATATTTATTGGATAATAGTGTGATCTCATGTGTTCGATGTGTTTGTTTTGTCCCAGTCTGTGTGAAACTGCTTTGTTCAGTAACTCAGCTCAGACTTTTATGATGTCATTTCATTGGGCATCATCAAAAAAATCAAGATTTGAATGATGTTGATGAGTCAGCTGGAATCAAAGTCTGCCAGCGCTGTGACTCACATGTTTCTCACCAAATGAGCTTCAAGCTAATGTTCAGTAACAGGTGGCCACATAAAACTCTAACGAGTGAAGATAAGAGCAAGAAACAAACAGCTTCCTGAAAGGCACCGCCATGTTTTGGTCTTTGAAGCATTTGCGTTGTGAAGAGCGTTTATTGGGATCAATAGTGTGGAAATAACTTTTCCTCTACATCTGAGAACGTTACGCTGCGACAGCAGAGGCTTATTTAATTAAGTTTCTATATATAAGAAAGAAAGTACAGCGAGCCCTCGACATCGCTTTTATTGGTAAGGATTTGGCATCTGGAGGTGAGTGAAACTTCATCATTGCGGGCAGCATAGTGGAGAGAGACATTATGTATCCATTCGTTCATCCATTCATCATTCATCCATCCATTCATCCATATTAGGTTTTGCATTAATAATTTAATATTTGTTAAAGTGATTGAGAATTTAGAACATCTTAGTTTGTAAACATTTAGGATTTCTACAACAATGCAAAGACATTTTTTATTTATTTTTTAGCTTTTATTTTTTGGTCTAAAATGATCCTGTACTTGTAGTTTTGATATGTTTTTCTAGAAAAAGCTTCTTAATCTGGAAATGCATGTTTCAGACATGTTGAAACGCGTCTTAATCCACCTGGTTATTCTGGTGCGTCATCACAGACCTGGAAGGTTGGTTACATCGTAAATTATTGATCAATAACTCTTCATATCTGTCAAATCTGTTTCATACGTTCCTGTTTATTGCTGTTCATTATGTGGCCACCAGAGGGCGCGGAGTAAACTCTTACATCAATTTGCTCTGAAACTTAATAGAAATATGAAATGAAGATTGAAAAAAGTTGGTTTCTGGTTAACTGTAAAAGCGGATGTTTGTAATATTTTCGGTTCTCTTGTGATATCTGCTCTGCCTGACCTGGAAACTGGATCAGACTCTCAGCTCAGCCTGTCAGCTGCTCCAGGTCGGTTCGGCTTATCTGTGTTTCTCTGTGCGTCACGGCCATGAATCCCCCTCCTCACGCTCCCCACTCGGACGCAGACATTGTGATCACACGACTGGTCTGACGTTTACTGGGTCAGCATTACTCTGCCTGTGTTTGTGAGAGAGAGAGAGAGAGAGAGAGAGAGAGAGAGAGAGAGAGAGAGAGAGAGAGCGGCCTGCAGACCAGCGGCTGTAATCAGATTTGTGGACATTTAGTGAATCACGGAGGCTTGGTTCGTGTTTGCAGAGGGAAAACCAGAAAACATCTGCACTACTCAGTGAGAATGTTTGTCTTTTTTATTATTCAGTTGTGTTTGGATTTTATTTTCTGTAGCAACAAAAACGTGCACACCTCTTGTAGGGTTCTGATAACAACTAAAACTCATTTAAATCAGTTTATTTAAGGCAGATATTGTTTGAAAAGTAACAATAATCAAGTGTAAAACTGGATTTGTATGATCGGGGTTCATGCTTGTGCGGAGTAGTTTCATGCAGTGAGAGTTTTCCCTGCAGCGTAAACAAAAAAAAAGTTCCTTACATCCTTTCTTTACTCTTGCGCTTTATTTGAAGTTATTAGGGGTTTTTTGCTTTATATCACAGATCTTGTCAAAAACTTGTCTTTTTTAAACGGTGTGGCAGAAATATTTGTTTTTATAAAGACATGACTGTGTTTGTACAAGGCCTTAGTCACATGTTCCTACTTTATCATATCTGAATTATTAGGAAAATATCTTTAAACTCCTCTGAGCATCTGCTCTGTCTCCTCTGACTGGATCTGACGTCTTCAAGATTTCCTTTTAATCTTGATTAGATGTTACACAGATGTCAAACACAGGCTGCAGGGACCTGTCAAAACTAATTTAGCAGAAATATTTCCAGCAGCATAGCACCCAAAGTGAGTTACTTTTTCATTTTAAATTTGGAGATCCAAAGAAAGACACGTTTGACCAGAGCTGCTGCTGCAGGCCTGCGTTCCAGAATAGAAGCACTTACACAGTCTGTAATTGCAGTGAGAACATAATTAGCATGTGTGTTTTTTGTTAAAGTAATTATTACTTTTCACTTGCGAGTCTTCTTTTACAACCGTGTGTGTGTGTGTGTGTGTGTGTGTGTGTGTGTGTGTGTGTGTGTGTGTGTGTGTGTGTGTGTGTAATGGTGTGTAACGTGTTAAGTGTTATTTATATTCAGTTGAATTTTTGTGTATTTGGAGCTTTTTTAGTGCATTATGTTTGTTTTTGGGGAATTTTTGTGAAACTTTATGAGTCCATGTATGTTTGGTTTACATATAGTTATATATGAATATATAGGGAGGGCGTGTTCTTGGAAATGTTTGTTTTATGTGTAGGGCTGTAAATTTTATTTTTGTTTTAATTTGGTTTGTGCATTTTTAGAAGTGAGACTTGGTATTTCCATATGTTAGATAGTAATTAGGTGTTTCACTATGGAGGACTGACACTGCCAAAATGCAAGAAATATCAAAATATAATGGTTATTTATATAACACTAGGCGAATAATCTCACCTGTCAGTTAATTAGGGTTCAAAGGTCAAAGTAAACATAACTTTGTTTATTTGCCAAGAAACATAACTGATCATTTTTGTTTTTATGATATAAATGATTTTTTTATTCAATAAACTGAAAGTCACATCACTCACTGATATTTTGCCATTATTCTGACTTCAAGATAAGCTAGTCATAGCTAGCTTGACTCACGATTGTTATGTTATACTAGTAACATATTTTTAACAATAATTTTTCTGCATTTTTTTTACTGTTTTTGAATTATGTCCACACTCAAATTTAGATTTCAGTGAAACTAATTAGATTTCTGGCAGTCTAAGTCCCCCATACTTCTAAATGCTGATTTATTTTATTTTTTCCAACATTTATGGGAAATTTAAGAGTGAAAGTCAATATTGCTTCAATGTTTTTAGGGTAATTCATTCATTTCTAAATTCAAATTCATATTTGACTTTTGGCAATCCCAGGCCCCCATACTTCTAAATGCAGATATTTATGAGTGTTTTGTACTTGTTTACTTAATAGCAAATGTAAAATCTGCACATATTTTGATGGTGTATGTGTACATATATAAGGTATATTAGTAAAACATTTATTTATTTTTTGTTTTCTGGTAATTACAGTCCTCCATATTTCTATGTGAGTGTTTTAGAAATCTACATTTCTATGTTTCTTTTCGCATTGTTTGCTTGTTGAATCTGTTGCAAACCTACATTTGACTCTATTAACCGGTTTACCGCAGGTTGGGTCTCTTATTCAGATTCAAGTCGCTGGTTCATTGCTTGCAGTGAGCGTGGCCATGGGGACGGCAGCATCAGCGCAGTGTGAAGTGGGAGAGGAGCTTGTGGCGCTCAGCATGCTGTAGAGAAGGAGACTGGTGTTAACACAGACGTGACTGGGTGGAGACGCGGATGATGTCATGCGTTGAATCTGAGCTTTTAACACAGAATTTCTTCCATCTGACCTTCGTGTGTTTGAAGGCGACCAGAGCAAAAAGCATCGCTAAAGATGCACCGGAGAGAAAAACCTGGAGTGAGAGGAGGAGAGGAGGAAAGGAGAGGAGAGGAGGAGGAGGAGGGGAGGAACTGAGAGGAGGAGAGAGGAGGAGGAGAGGAGGAGAGGAGGGAGGAGGAAAGGAGAGGAGAGGAGGAGGAGAGGAGAGGAGAGGGAGGAACTGAGAGGAGAGGGGGGGGGAAGGAGGAGAGGAGGGGGGGAGGGAGAGGAGGGAGGAGAGAGAGGAGAGAGGAGGGGAGGAGGAGAGAGAGAAGGAGAGGGAGAGGAGGGAGGAGAGGAGAGGAGGAGGGAGGGAGAGAAGGGGAGAAGGAAAGGAAGGGAGGGGAGGAGCCGAGAGGAGGAGGGGAGGAGCGCTGTGTGTCATACTGAGCATGCTCTTTGTGTTCACTTCCTGCCTTCTTTCTGCCGACAGACAGGAGCTTTCAGAGTCGCCGGCATTCAGCAACAGGAGCAGCAGAGGATCAGTCGCTCCGGACTTTCTGGACCAGAAGAATCCAAACCAGAGGAGTTACAACAACCAGGCTGTGGATTTGGACGTTTTATTCTTTTCTGTGTTTTTGTAGGAGTTGATCAGTGAAACAGTTTCACTCCGTCAGGAGGAAAACTCCTTTCTTCTCTCTTTTGTCTTTGTGAAACTTCATCCGGACAAACTGGGACCTCAGGGGGATTTTTTTCTTTTTCCTGCTTACTTGCGTCACTCCTTTCGATTTGTGTTTATCTGCCTCTGCCCTTTCCTGATGATGTTTGTTTCTTCATGAAAGCAAGAGGTTTGTGAAGAGTCTGAGCCAAGACCTTGAAAAACTGTTTGTTTGCTTTTACGAGGAAACAAACCGCAGCTCGTTTCCCCTCGTTGGAATTTCAAGGAGGAACAAAAAGGAAAATGGGCTCAGAAAAGGGCTCCGAGTCGCCTCACTCATCGGTCAGCGGCGTTCCCAACCCAAAGTGCCGAGCAGCCGGGAAACGCCAGGGCCGCATCTCCTTCCACAGCCTCTTCCACAGCAAGCGGGGCCCCCGGAGCGGACGGGCCCCCAAAGGAGGCGCGGCCGCTCCGTTAGCTCCTCATCACCACGCACAGCAGCAGCAGCAGCTGCCTGCCGCCTTGAGTTCAACGCCCACCGCAGCCTCCGCCACCACCGCCGCAAACAGCAAGGACGCGGCCTGCAGCAGCCCCTCCAAGCCCCTGTCCTCCAGCCAGCCGTCCCTGGCCGGCGCCGGAGAACCCAACCTCCTGGAGTGCCCGCTGTGCCTGGTGCGTCAGCCCGCAGAGCAGCTGCCCGAGCTGCTGGGCTGCAGCCACCGCTCCTGCCTCTGCTGCCTGCGCCAGTATCTGCGCATCGAGATCACGGAGAGCCGGGTGCAGCTCAGCTGCCCCGAGTGCGCCGAGAGGCTGGCCCCGCGGCAGGTGGCCGACATCCTGGACGACGCCGCGCTGCTGGACAAGTACGAGGAGTTCCTGCTGCGCCGCTGCCTCGCCTCCGACCCGGACTGCAGATGGTGCCCTGCGCCCGACTGTGGGTGAGTAACGGTTCACGGTGCCTGTAACCCGGGAGTCACGTGTTCGGTGAATCACATGTTTGATTTGTAAAACACCAGAGATGTTCTGGTCCACAAGCAGACCAGAACTGAAGAGATTCTGACATTTAGAAAGGAGAGAAAACTAGGAATTAGAAAGAAGGTCATTTTTCAGTGGCGCCCCAAAGAGGGGGGCTGTAGGGTCCATGAGCCCCTCTTGAAAAATGCTTGAAATGCTCCTGGCCCCAGAGAATCCTGTTTGTGTCTGAGAAAGGCATCCAGAAGCTGCTGTTGGCCCTTAAGGACCATTTAGTTTACAGACTCATTGTTCATTTTAACTGTTGTTTTGTTTATTTAAATTATCTTCCAGTCCAAGTGTTGAACGTTCATTAGAATTTTAAGCTTATTGATCTTTAAGATTGTGTTATATTTCTTTAAAATGGCCTCAAAACAACAATATTGTGGTTTATCGCAATAACTTCTGGGATAATTTATCATTCATCAATATTTGCTATTTTCACTTACTTTAATTTACTCTTTGAAAACCCTTAAATAGCTTTAATTTCTCGCTGGGATTTATAAAACACTTTTGAATCTGTAAACCTATAATTTTTTTCTGGGGGAGCCACTTTATGTTCCATTAAAACTGAGAAGTTGAAGCAATTAAAAACTGAAAAACAGTCAGAAAATGAATATTTCAGCTGCTACTGAGGAAATAAAAGCTTCAATTAGACGAGTTTCAGCCAGTTTCCTTCTGAGAGGTGAACTTCCTGTTCTGTCTGTGATGTAATTGGACTTTTTGTCAATCTGACGTCAATCCAGCGAAGCTTTGACTCTTACCTCTCATTTCTTTGAGGGGAATTTGTGCAATGAGTGAAAACAAGGAAGTTATTGTTAAATTAAACTACAGCGAGTAGCTGCAGCGAACTGCGGCGAACCCTGAAGTGTTTATTTCTCACAGAGGTCTCAGGACTGAAGGGGATTCTGGGACCTGGACAGATTAAAAAACCAGAGGCGTGAAAGTGAGAATCTGAGAGGCAGAAAGTGGGTTAGAAAGCCTCGAGCTGCTTCTGTGGTCGGAGCGAGTCAGAGCCTGAGCCGCTCACTTTCTGGAACAAATGAGAGGCGTTTGTTTGATCATAAGAAGCTGGAGTGATTCATTGTCTTTGAGTTTCAGGCTGTGATATTCTTCTTCTTTGGTTTTGGGTAGAAAGTACAGGTGGAGTCAAAGGGGAAAGCCACAGAATCTGTGGTAGCTGGAAAAAAATCTCTTTTCCTGTCATGTCTCAGCTTTCTGTGACTTTTTCAGAAAGATTCTGGTGACGATGAAGCTTTTTGATTTCGGAGAATGTGGACAAAAATCTTGACTGAAATATTTTATTCGAGCCCAGCTTTGGAGT